TCAATAGCTGCCCACTGCACCACCTGGTAATATACACACTGTCCCTCCTCTGGACATGTCCAAACCATCCGTCTGGTCTCTAACTTTATCTCCCAGTTGTTCAACCCATGCTGTACCTCTGATGATCTCATTCCTAATCTTAGCCATTCTTGTCACTCCTGAGGAGAACCTCGAACATCTTAATTTCTGTTACTTCCAGTTCTGTCTCCTGTTTTCCATGTCTGTCTCCAGACCATACAACATAGCTGGTCTCATCACTGTCTTGTAAACTTTTCTCCATCCACTCCATCCTGCCTGGACTCTCTTTCTCACCTTTTTACCACATTCCCCATTTTCCTGGACAGAAGACCCAAAGTACCTGAAGTCCTGACCTTTGTGACCTCTGCTTCTTGTAGCCTCACTGCTCCACCTGTCTCCCTCTCATTCACACACATGTACTCTGTCTTACTACGACTGACTTTCATTCCTCTTCTTTCTTGTGGTAATTCAACTGATTACTGTTAGAAGAAAACATCGGGTCTGCTCTCAGAGAGGAGATCCATCCTGCGATGCAATCTGATCATCTGTTGACCTGTTTAATAAATCTTTCAAAAACAATCAAGAACATTATCAGTAGGAACTCTTTCCAGGAAGTCTGACAATAACATGACTGGCGTTCAAACAGCATTATTTCAGTTTTGTTTTTATTTTTCAGACTGCTTCCTGCTTCTTCCAGTTAAGGCAGATAGCTAAGCTTAAGTCAGTGTTGACCAGACCTGACCTTGAAAAAATATTCCATGCCTTCATTACAACCCGACTTGATTACTGTAACGCACTTTATGTTCGAGTCAGTCAGGTCTCCAGCTCATCCAAAATGCCGCAGCTCGGTTCTGAACAGGAACTCGTAGGTTTGAGCACATTTCACCAGTTTTGTCCTCCCTTCACTGGCTCCCTGTACGCATCAAAATAGATTTTAAAATTCTCTTGTTGACCTTTAAAGTGCCTAAATGGACTTGCACACTCTCTCTGATCTACTTCAGCCTTATGTTCCTTGAAGGAGGCTGAGATCATCTCACCAGTTGCTTCTGGTTGAAGCTCCGAGGAGATCAGGCTTTTAAAGTCGTGGGTCCTAAATTTTGGAACAATCTGCCCCCAACATCTGACTGACCTCTTCACTTCCTGTTTTTAAACTAAATGACTTTTTACCCAGGGTGACCTGTGTTAGTCTTTTTTTGTTCTCAGTTTATTTTCTTCTGATGCTTTTCAATTAATCTGTTTTATTGTTTGTTCATTTCATCTGAGTCTTTTATTGTTCAAGACTTTGATAAAAGTGTTGTTGTTTTTAAATGTGCTTTATAAATGAATTAGACTTTGACTTCCTCCTGTTCCTCAGCAGCTCTATTGATGGAAGATGAGGAGCACCGGTGGTGATCAAGTGCTAGCGTCGTTATTTTATTGTGAAAGGTTCAGATTGTATTTGGGAAGTCCCTCTGACCTCCTTACTAAGTTTGTCTCCTCTTTGCTCTTTGTCGTTGACGTGCAGCGAGTCGGCGTGTCGTTTCTACAGCCATCATATGAAGGGGAAGCACCTGGCCATCAGGAAGATGAACGAGATCCAGAAGAACATCGATGGCTGGGAAGGGAAGGACATTGGCCAGTGCTGCAACGAGTTCATCATGGAGGGCACACTGACTCGAGTCGGCGCCAAACACGAACGCCACATCTTCCTTTTTGATGGCCTCATGATCTGTTGCAAAGCCAACCATGGCCCACCGCGCCTGCCTGGTGCCGGCTCTACGGCAGAGTACCGGCTCAAAGAAAAGTTCTTCATGCGTAAAGTCCAGATCAACGACAAGGACGACAAGGAGGGCGAGTACCGGCATGCGTTTGAGATCATTCTAAAGGATGGGAACAGTGTAGTGTTTGCTGCTAAGTCCTCGGAGGAGAAGAACAGCTGGATGGCGGCACTGATCTCGCTGCAGTACCGCAGCACGCTGGAACGCATTCTGGACCAGGCTCTGCTGCAGGAGAAGGAGAAGCAGATGAGGCTACCATCAGCTGAGGAGTACCGTTTCACCGAGCCCGACTCAGAGGAGAACGTTGTGTTCGAGGAGAATGTCCAGTCTAAGTCCGGGATCCCCATCATTAAAGCAGGGACAGTCCTGAAACTGATCGAGAGACTCACCTTCCACATGTATGCAGGTGAGCCTTGTTTTCATGTAGGCGAGCCTGGTTCTGAACACAAACGGGATGCATATTCTGTTTGGATCTAAACCAGTGAACTTCCAGGTACAGCTGTGATTGTGAACGTAGCTCTGTGTGGAGCAGCATTCAGAAACACCACCTGATAATATTAAACCCTTAAAATGTCCGACAGCACCAACTGAATCAAGACAGACATCCTAAAAGGGTCCGGAAGTGATAAGTAAAGTGACCCAGTGGTTCTGTGGTTGCAACACACTTGTTCAGAATGGATGGAAGAGTTTTAAGATCTTGGTCTTGTCCCTAAAGGGCAGGCTATAATATGAGCCAGATAAACATATCAATACCATAAAAACTGTAAAGAGGTGCACTCCTGGGGAGTGCTCGTGCCTCCAGGTGTGTACCAGGGGTCTGAAGGTTAGCCAGGTTTAGTTTAGACATAACCTCTAGACCAGCGTAAGTCATATATACAGTAGTCCCGCACTGCCTCGTGGTTTGTTTTTCACGGACTCGCTCTCAGTTTTTCAAAATAAGATTAGACATGGCACACAATTGGCTGATTGATGGACGTCAATGTATTTAGGTGAAGCTGCAGATTTCCAGTTTTACAGTTGTAGCCTCCTGGTCAGCAGCAATTAAGTCCTTTTTAAGTCCAGTTAGAATGACAGCATTGATATCCTTTCTAGTTAGCTTAGATAAGACGAGCAACATTTAAGCTTCAAGACATTTCAGACATCCTCTGAAATCAGCAGCCCCAAATCTGTTTTGACACAGTGGAATGATTTGAAAAGTTAAACATTTTGACTCAGTGCATCCAGAAAGTATTCACAGCGCTTCACTTTGTCCACATTTTGTTTTCTTCAAGCCTCTGTAGGACTTGATGGAGTAGCCTGGGTGGTTTCTTGCTCCAAATAAAATCCAGAATCAGACAACTGACCTTGTGGGGGAAAAAAAAGGGATAATAATGAGAATACATTGAAACTAGACCTGTCACGATAACAAATTTTGCTGGACGATTAATTGTCTCAGAAATTATTACGATAAACAATAATATTGTTTGAAATTTTACAATAATTGGTAATTGTCAAATTTAAGCAGAAATGTTGGTTAATTTTTTTGTGTACTACCTTTTTTGACCACTGGATGTCAGTATAAGACTGTTTGAACCGAAGGATGGATAGTGAGGGAGAGAGCGGCATGTCTCTAAGAAAAATGGGAGGGAGGCCCCTTGACGTGACATGGGTTATTGGGCTGTCTCTCGTTCCTGTTTTTCGGTTCTCAAAATAGCAGATGCTCTGTGTGATTTGAACTCTTTAGCATAGCGTTTGTCACACAAAATCAGTAAACAAATTCTCAGCTTCTTTTTGCAGAGAATAACAACTTTTTAGATGAAGACACGGGTTTCAACTATGATTTTGGATCTTGGACAAGGCGGAGTTTTTTTCCCCGAGGCCAGCCTGTTAGCTTAGCTCGTACTTAGCTTCTCAGCTTAGCTGCTTTTAACAATCCAAAAATTTGATTTTGGATGGTTAAAACAGATTTTCAAGAAAAAAGAGAAAGGGAGGGGTCAGTGAAGAGCACTGGAGTTGAGCCTTTTGTCATCCACTGTCTTCAGTAGAAAGAGAGACACGAAGAAACGATATAGCTAATAAATGAAAATGACATCATTTTCATTTATCCATGCAATTAATTGATTTATTGTTTAATGTGAAAGGCCTAATTGAAACAGATATAAGAAGCATTAAAAGATGTTCATTTGGACATCAATAATTCTGGCAACCACAGAAAAGTTAAGCAGAAACCACCGCTAAGCTTTTTAACCCTTGTACTGGTCTTTTGGAGGGAAATAAGCCCGCATTGATTTTTGTCTGTTTTTATTTATTTATTTATTTTGGACCGTCAATAACCAAATGTTTTTTCAGACAAAGCCTAAAAATCCTTCTTTTTTATTTTGTCAGAATTTTTTCCAATGCTCTCATCACCCCTCAGTAATAATGGCTTTTCTTTTTACCTCTATCCTCATACTTTAGATTTTTATATTAGTCCACTAGCTAGCACTCAGTTTTTTTATTTGAGAGCTTGTGTAAAAATCTACAGATGGAGGTCAAACCCCCCCAGCAGAGAGACGTCTGCCCCGCCAGAGTCTTTGCAGAGTCCCACTTCTCTTCTCGTCTGACAAATTTGATTTTAGTTTGGATGTAAAGAGCAAAAACTCACTTGCAATGTGCACAAGTGCACGTTGTGCATTTAGACTGAAAAAGCCATTTGACATGCATGCAGGCTGCAGAGTCAAACGTTCAGCGGCTGACTGCCGTTGGTTTATCTGGAGTCAGGACGTTATTAGTGGGTGCGCCAAACTCCTGCAGCTACCACAAGAAGAGTTAATAAAAATTAAAATAAAATTATTAGACCCTGACAGATATGAAAATTTTGGCTATCGTCCATACCGATACTGGGAGGGCCAGACTAATGCCTAATGGCAGAAAATTTTTGAGCTTTGTCCACCATCAAGAACCTAAGTAAACAGCTACTTTTAAACCTGTTTTAACACTTGAAGTCTTGAAACAGTCTTCCTAATGTGCATTCATGTTTTATATCTTCCATTATTCACCATAAAGTTATCAAATGTGTTACAAAAATATAAATTAAACAAAGATCCCTGATCATTGTTTAAAACAGTCAGTCACGTATGGTGAAGGCCTAATTAGTATTGACTGCAGCGGCATATTTTTACTTTGCAGAGAAGTTAAGATTTAAGATAAATAATGCATTTCATTGAGGACAACAAAGATAACGTTACTAACACTGATATATTTTACGTCTACGTTAGAGTTATTTTTCTGGATAAAGTTTTACAAGGCAATAGTCTATGCTAGGTTAGCTAAACGTTATCTGGCTAACTTGATAGGCACGTAGCTAATGACAAGAGATTTGAAGGATTGAAGAGAATTTTTAATTTTTTTAAATTTTACAGATCAGTTAAAATAAACTTACCATGCTCTGTTCAGCAAAATACACTACACAGTTGCTCCCTGCCTCGTCTGCCCTGAAAGTGAAACCTAAAGGCCACGACGTGAAAGTAGTCTTCATGCGTCCTCTGCAGAATACATTGTACTATTACAGCTGGTTCCCAGAATTTTAGGGGTGAAAATTAGAAGCGGCGCATAATGGGACAATTATCACTGATACCGATATGTCCCCAAACGTCTATATCAGCCTAAAATATCGGCCCTACCGATATATCGTCTGGGCTCTAAAAATTATAATTTTTATTAAAAAAACCAAACAAAACAAAAAGATTAGTAAAACATCTCCATATCTAAAGAGGAGGAGACAGGAGTAAGTTTGACCAAAAACAAGGCCTCATTTTCTGCTACCTATTCTAAAGAGTCTGGTGGTCTGGAGAGTCCTCACAAAACTCTGGACTGGAATTTTAAAAATGATTTTAAAAAATCGTTTAGAGTTCATTAATGGAGGAAATGCCTTTTTTCCAAAAATTTTGTAAGGCAAATATTTTGTCAATTTGTTGAATGTTGAATTTTTTTAAACAAAAGACCCTTAAAGAATAAAAACAAAGTGTTGTTTACAGTTGATATTTTTATTTCAGGCAAAGCTCTAAAAGATGGACTTATTTCTTTCAGAAAAAAAATTAAAACTAGTATTTTGAATCAGTTAAATAAGTTGTTGGATTTTTTTCCCGTGAGGAACATGAATGTTCATAAAGTTAAGGGACGATCCAAGAGTTGGTTCTGGAGCTAGAGGCCAAAGTGTGTTGACCTTTTATGATGGTTCCACCGATCAGCTGGCATACACTTTGTTGTTTTATCAAATATGAATAATAATGATAAATATCGGTGGAGTTTCATGTTCTACTGGAAGCCTGAACACTCATTTTAAATCAACTGGATCTCTGTGATGTTCTTGAAACAGAACTAGTTTGGTACTGGCTCTGAATAAGAACTGGAACAATGTTGGTTGGAGAAAGAGTCTGTTAACCTGGTTCTGATCCAGTTGGATTTTCAGTTTTTTTTCAGGTGTATGGTTTGTTTGGTGTTTCCTCCCTCAGATCCGAACTTCGTGCGGACCTTTCTGACGACTTACAGGTCGTTCTGCAAACCCCAGGAGCTGCTGAGCCTGCTCATGGAGAGGTGAGGTCGCCTGCCGGGTCCCACGGACCAAACAGAACACCTCAGCTGCTCTTGTATTTTTGACGGGGTTAGAACCCAACTACTGTAAGATAGAGCTTCAAAAACCAGACTTTGAAAAGGATTTAATATGCTTGGGCTAAAACTGGAAGACCTTGTTGTGACTCAGGAAACGGACATGAACTCCAGCTAAAAGCAGAGGAAGAACTGTGCACCTGTTTATTCTGGTCTCAGGTGTGTGTGTGCATGTTTTGTTTTTTTCCAGGTTTGGAATCCCTGAGCCAAAGCCGACAGACTCGGACCAGATGGAGGGCGAGGAGCAGCTGCTCAGTGCTGAACTCAAACGTTTCCGTAAAGAGTTTGTTCAGCCGGTTCAGCTCAGGTACACAGCACCGCCTGCTGGAGGTACCAAACCTCAGCAGCTCACGGGCCTCCAGAAAACTTAGCCAAGTGGTTCAGCTCTCACCCAAAAAGCTGCTTCAGTTCTCAATGTGGGTTGGGAGCTCCAGACTGTGTCAGTAACAGGGTCATTGGGTCACTGAGTCGTTTGTGTTGATGACATTAATTAACAAAGTCCATGCTCAATAATCCAGGTATACAATCCAACAATTTTCAGTCAGGTCATCTAGACAGTTTTTTTTTGTTTTGTTTTTTGCAGAAACGTTTCACCTTCCATCCAGAAGGCTTCATCAGTCAAGGAAACGCACAACACAAAACTGATTCTTCCCTCAACATCTTACTCCAACTTTGGGACACTCATACCTAGGGACAGTTTAGTTATCTGTAGTTTTACACTTAATTTCAATATTAATGTGCAAAGCAACGCCCCAACTTTATTTCTTCTATTCATATAATATAGTCCATATCCTTCTTTTTGAAAGTTATTTGCTAGTTCTGTTGACATAAAATCCATAGACCTTTTTATCTCTTCCATACTGTGCACAGATGAAGTCCTTTCCCCCCTAAAGTTGTTTACTTGGCTTTTTTTACTCACAAACTTCTAACTGCAGTTACCTTTTTATTAAATCCACTTATAACTGATTTTTTTAAATTAGGCCACATGAGATAACCGACATATCCAGTTATGTCATTTAACTTAACTAAAACAACTGAAAGGACCCAATCCCCTCTGTGGACCAGCCTGGACCTCAGGACCTCTTAAGACCTGATCCCCTCTGTGGGCCAGAGGACGTCCTTGTTAACACCAACAGACTGTTACAATATTCTTGTTGGGATGAAATAATAAATCCAATTAGAGAACTTTACGAATAATTTCTGTGGCAGTTCCTCCTCCAGTGCTTGTCATCCTTCTCCAGCTTCTTGTTCACTTCAGGATTTATTTTAAAGTGAACTGAAATTAACTGAACTCCAGTTTCCTTCTACTGAACTAGGACTGTCTTGAGTGATTGTAAGTCCACACCAGCGTACCTCCAGGACACTGCAGATCCACAAGAATGATAGTTCTCTAACATTCAGTCACCGTTCTAACAGTAGACTCATCGGCGTGGCCTCCTCTTTTTCCTCCGACAGAGTTCTCAACGTGTGCCGTCACTGGGTGGAGCACCACTTCTACGACTTTGAGAGAGATGAGCAGCTGCTGAGCCAACTGGAGGAGTTCATAGCCTCAGTGAGAGGTGGGCACCTGTACAGACACACCAGTCTCTATGCTTCCTAAACATTTTTTATCAACCCCCCCACCCCTTCAAAGAAAGAAAACTGTCTGCACTTCCCCAGCCAGCTGCAAAACCAAATATTACCTCAACACTCCAGTGTTAACAATGTGAGCTTAAGTCTTGAAATCAAACCCCTTTGAGTGAAATAAAGTGATTTAAGACTGAAATCTGCCAATATGACTTAAAAAACAGACTATTTGAGGTTATTTTGACTACCTATGATGTAATATTTTAAATGTCACCCTTTAAATAACAAATTAATTATATAATTGGTTCTGATTCAGTGTCTCAGGGTCAGCATTCTGAATCACTGACTAAAGATCAGGGTTCTGGATCAGTGACTCAGGATCAGGGTTCTGAATCAGTGACTCAGGGTCAGTGTTCCGAATCGGTGACTCAGTATCGGGGTTCTGGATCAGTTACAGGAGTTAGGATCATGGTTCTGAATCAGTGACTAAGGATCAAGGGTTCTCAGTCTGGTTCTTTTTGTGTCTGACCTCTGTAAATGTGTCACCTGTTGCAGGTAAGGCGATGAGGAAGTGGGTGGAGTCTATCACTAAGATCATCCAGAGGAAGAAGCAGGTCCAGGTGAGCCCCTCAGGTCACAACATCACCTTCCAGAGCTCTCCGCCCCCCATCGAGTGGCACATCTGTAAACCTGGAGACATTGAGCACTTTGACCTCATGACTCTGCATCCCATTGAAATCGCCCGCCAGCTCACTCTGCTAGAGTCCGACTTCTTCAGGTACTGACTCGCTCATGTCAGCTACACACCTCCTGCTAGGTGGCTCTGACCTCTGACCTCGGCCCACAGGGCAGTGCAGCCGTCGGAGCTGGTCGGCAGTGTCTGGACCAAAGAGGACAAAGAGCTTCACTCTCCCAACCTGCTGAGGATGATCCGACACACCACCAACCTCACCTTGTGGCTGGAGAAGTAAGAGACGGGCTGGACCGAGCCGTCCACCTGAGGTTCTGCAGGTTCTGATGCTCCGGTTGCTTTGTCTGCAGGTGTATCGTAGAAACCGAGAATCTGGAGGAAAGAGTCGCTGTTATTTCTCGGATCATCGAGATCCTGCAGGTCTTTCAGGAACTCAATAACTTTAACGGTGTTCTGGAAGTAGTCAGTGCCATGAACTCCTCACCGGTCTACAGACTGGACCACACCTTTGAGGTAATTGCCCCTCCCTCAGTCAGCTCTTGCTGCTTCTCAGTCGATGGACTAAAGGGCCCTGCAAACTCCATGTGAAGCACTGATATTGACTCTCGTTGACTTAGTTGCGTGATGAAAATCGGCTCATTTCATTCACAGAGTAGCTCCGCCCCTTCTAGACACAAGGCCTTGGCTGAACTTTTTCTCTCGGGTGTACACGCCAAGTATTGTGTGATTGGGCAGAAGTTTTGGGGCATGTTTGTCACTGAAGAAATACACTTGGACTAGGGATGCACGATATTGGGTTTTTGGCCGATATCCGATATGTTAAAACTTATTTGGCTGATACCAATACCGATATTTTTTTCCTAGACCTACTTACAGAGACTACATATCTTTCTCTGCTATGGAATTAAAATACTAGATTATTCTGCATGATCTTTGTCAATTTGGCCTGCTACCAAATGTAGATGCCAAAAAGGGGGCTAAAAATGATTTAACACAATATAAATATATAATATACATTTTAAAAAACAGAACCTTTTATATCGGTGAGTTATTTGATGGAATGTCCGATATTTAACTTTATCTCTAATATCGGCCGATACCATGCCGATAATATCGTGCATCCCTAGCGTAGACATTCGGCTGTAAGACTCTTCAGACACTAAATTAGTCCAATGATCAAAAACTCCTAGATAGAGATAGTGCACACATCATGCACGGCGGAGTCTGCTGAAAAGTGTGGCACTGTCTCCATGACAGAATTGTGGCCAAATGGCAGATGCAGGAATGGAGTGGAGACTGTTGGGAAGAAACCTGCGGTGACATATACTGCAGGGGGCGGGGCTTCCCAGGAGCTATGTCTCGAGGACTAAGAAAGATATTTGAAAACCAACGTCCAGCAACGACGTGACCGCAAGTCGACTGTTTGGCTTCAAATGGAGTATGTCAGGCCCTTAAAGTTTCCTGTGCGTCAGAAGGTTGGACTGGTTTCTGACCCATCATCAGAGCCACTCGTTCTTTGTTTAATTGATCTCAGTAATGTTCAGTCAGACGTTTCCATCGTGAACACAAAGACTGAATTTTTACCTGAACAGTTTATTCTGAGGGGACTGATTCTGCAACGTTCAGCTTCAGTCAGTTTGAACAGAACATGGTATCATTTGGGTTTTCTTTGACCCACACACTGTCAGAAAGATACAAACAGGCTCCGATACATTCATACCTCCAACTAATCCTCACTTAATTCAGATTCAACTCAGTTTATTTTTGAAGCTCCAACAGAAGTCCTCTCAGGGCACTGAACAGAAACATTCACATACATTATAAAAGACAATTAGTAAAAGTTATCTAAGGAAGCAGCAGGTTGTGTTGAATCTTCACTTTGTCACAGTCTCCCATCCTGAGCAAGCACAAAGGAGACAGTGGAAAGGAAAAACTCCATTTGAACAGGAACAAACCTCCAGCAGAACCAGGCTCAGGATGAGCGGCCATCTGCTTCGACGGGCTGGAGTTTGAGAGGACAGGAAGTAGAAACAAACAGAACAGGTCCAGGTGTAACTTAAGGGTGCATTCACACCAGCCCTGTTTAGTCCGCTTTAATCGAACTCTAGCTCGTTTTCCTAGAAAGTCCGGTTCGTTTGGGGAGGTGTGAACGCACCATCGAACTCTGTCATGGAACAAAAAGGCGAATTCTGGCCCGGAGACAACCTCAAACAGAGGAGGAAGTCTCAGTGTTTAAAATAAGAAAACCCTACTGAGCAGCATTAAACCTGATCCTGGGTCAGTTTGACTTTGATTCTCTCGCAGGTGACCAAAACATCTCTCTGAGCCTAATGACCCTCTGAAGGGAGGGTAGGAAGTTAACCTGTATGTGAGTTCAGCTGCAGAAACATCTCATGCAGGTTTACCTCCTGCTGCCCTTGGGTCAAATTGATCCACAGGGCCTCAGAAACTAAATAAGTTATTTGTTTCTGTTGAACCACTCAGGCTGGTTAGCATATAGCCTTTGGCTGATCAGAAACAATGGAGGTTGCACTTAGCCGTCTTTAAAAACCAAGAACTTACAACTGTTTGTCACTAAACACACCTGCTGGGACCAGAACCTTCAGATCTTTGTCCTAAAGCTTTGATATGAAGTCTGAACAAGTGTCCTGCAGAAACGGATCTATCACCGTGTCTGCGATACAACTGCACCGTTGAATGTCCTCAGGTAATCTCAGGTGATTTCCTTCACGACTCAAACCACCAACTGATGACTCACTGGTGGAGGACATGTTCACCTGCTCACTGGGAGCACTGAACTGGAAAAGCTCCACCAACAAATGAGCAAAGTGGGTGGAGCCACATAGTCAAACGTCTCTTTAAGGGATTTTTGATTTGATTTCATTTTGATTTGACTTGTTGAAATAGTTTGAAAACTGCGGGACGAGAAAAGTGCCAAAAACATACAGAAGAAAAATGGATCACGATATTGTGAATGCTTCATATGTTCACACATTTGATGCAGTTTGCTCAGTCACATGTTAAAGGCGTGATGCAGATAAAGGTTTTCTGGCTCCACGATCTGTGAAGGAACCAACAGATTTGTCTGCTTCTGTGTGCTTTTCATTCTTTCAGACTTCTAATAAACTGAAAACGTTGGAAATTGAATATTAAACATTTGTTCTGTGTGCAGCAAATTCCAAGTCGGCAAAGAAAAATCCTGGAAGAGGCTCACGAGCTGAGTGAGGACCACTACAAGAAGTATTTAGCCAAGTTGCGCTCCATCAACCCCCCCTGCGTTCCCTTCTTCGGTACGGACCGGACCTTTGTGAAGGTCACCAACGCCAACAGAACGTCTCTGACCTCACTGTTTGTGTGACAGGAATCTACCTGACCAACATCTTGAAGACTGAAGAGGGAAACCCAGACTTTCTGCGCCGACACGGCAAAGACCTGATCAACTTCAGCAAGAGGCGGAAAGTGGCTGAGATCACAGGAGAGATCCAACAGTACCAGAACCAGCCGTACTGCCTGAGGGTCGAGAACGACATCAAGGTCAGTCCATGCTCATTCGTTCAAACAAGTTTTTGAATATTTCATGGAAACACTGGATCTGTTGTGTTTTTGTGGAGCAGAAGTTCTTTGAGAACCTGAACCCGATGGAGGACCTGTCAGAGAAGGACTTTGCTGATCATCTTTTCAACAAGTCTTTGGAGATCGAACCACGGAACACTCGGTCGTTACCGCGCTTTGTAAGTGTTGCTGCTGAGAACCATTGCTGAGTGAGCTGTGCTCCTAACCTGTCCTCGTCCCTGGTCCAGGGGAAGAAGTACTTCTGTCCTCTGAAGTCTCCAGGGATTCGTCCGACCTCGGCAAGGCCTGGCACCATGCGACACCCAACACCTCTGCAGAACGAGCCCAGGAAGATCAGCTACAGCCGCATCCCAGACAGCGAGGCTGACGGGGGGGCGGTATCTGCCCCAAACTCCCCCCGCACGCCACTGACTCCACCCCCTGCGTCGGCCGCCTCCAGCTCCACAGACGTCGGCAGCGTGTTTGACTCTCCACAGGCTCCCAGCAGCCCCTTCCACTCAAGTAAGACCTGCTGATGAATAGACTTGTAGCGGTGTGATGTCACAGGTGCGTTCCGACTCCAACGTTGTGTTGACGTTTAGCCTGAAACATGCGAGCAATGCAACAAATGGAGCCCATAAGTTGTACACAGAGCTTAATACGCACTAAGACAATAATTTCTGTAAATTTCCTGCAGAAAAAACAAGAACAAATGCGGCAAAGATCTATTGACACATAGACTTCGATGTAGCTGCATTTTACTACTGGTATCACTTCATTTGTTCAAGTTTCAAGTTGACGAGCAACAGCAACACAGTATTACCAACGTCAATTAATCGGTATGTGACAATCGTGCTTGTTGCCTCCCCCCCACTCCTTCCTGCACCAGAGTGTGTGGTGAAATTACTGCGTCATTAGTACCAAGTCTGTTCTCCGGCACCTCCAGTGTCTCTCACCCAGCCGTCCAGCTGCAGAATCTGTTTTGACACTTTAACTGACTTGTCAAAAACATTGAATCACTGTATTTTTATTTTTTTTTACAAAGCAACAGGTGAGTTTTTTATTTTTATTTTATTTACGTTATTAATTTTTTTTTATTTTTCCCCCCGGCTGCTCTCTTCTTCAGGGGTCGCCACAGCGAACTAAGTCACACAAAGACCTGACAATTATTTTTACGCCAGATGTCCTTCCTGATGCAACCACAGACTACGAGCTACCACAGCCCTCTGTGTGGAGCAGAGAGCTGCTGTCTAGGGCGTCCGGGGGAGCAGATGGTGGGCGTTAAGGGCCTAGGGTGGAAGCAGATGTGGGTGCTTAATCTTCTTCACTCACATTTTGATGTGGATAGCAGGGGGATTTGAACCAGCGACTTTCCGATCACAGGTTCACTTCTTTAATCTCTCCCCCGGTGTCTCAAAATAAATTCTGAGTATAAATAATTGAAACCATCCAGCTCTTAGTATGCTGTCAGTCTTCGGTGTATAAAGTCTTGGACAGTTTATAAAGAAACTCAGCCGGCTACAGCTTCACTCCTGTGGTCGGTGAACAGCACTTACATGTAGATCTACCGTATTTTCCGCTGTACACGTCGTACCGCCTTATAAGTCGCACCAGTCCAAATATGTCTAATAAAGTGGAAAAATACGCAAATATGTCACTTCACCGTATAAGTTGCATCTATTATGCGTCACTGCTGCCGACCCGAAAATGTGGGCTGATGTGCCAAAAATCGATTGGCTGCAAAATGGCGGCCGCAGGAGCGTGCACAGGAGGACTTTAACAAGAATTTAACAAGATTAACACTTAAAAACAATTATTTGTTTGCTCGAAATTATAGCAAAGGTCAATCAATCAAACTTTTGCTTAATAAATGCACTTTGACGGTCAAATCGGCTGCATTTTAAAACCCAATATGCATAAGCAGGAGCATGCAGAGGGACAAGTCACTGTGCATTTCTTTGAAATTTAACAAAATAACCACCTAAAACCAATAATTTGTTTGCTTGACTTTATAGCAAAGGTGTGTCTCAGTTGAACTTTTACTTAATAAATGCACTTCAACGGTCAAATCAGCTGCATTTTGCCGGGTCGGCGTCAAATAAAGAATCTTGTATGATTGGTCAAATAATCTTCTAAAGAAAGTTAAAGGGCTTGTGGAAGGAGGCGGCGATGAGATGCAGGCGGCTTTTAGCTGTGCCATCTCGCCTCGGCTGAGCAGTGTAGGAACCCGCTCCTGCACCGTCCCGATGCTAAACGGCATTTACTGTATCAGTCAGTATAAAAAACAATCTGGTTGCAGTGAGGAAGGCAAACTTCTGTACAGGGAAGGTATATCGAAGACCCCGGGAGGGAGGAGGGTCTCATGAATTCTGTGCTGCAGTCTCTCGTTGACTATAAAATATCATTGCTGAAAAGGACGTCTCACCACCACATCAGTGAAAGCACTTCTTCACTTGGTGCAGAATATGTAGCCTTAGCTCACCCACAGAACTGTGGCTGCCACTAACTCCACCCACTCAACTGGCCCTAACTCCACCTACAGCTCCTGACCCTGACATGTCAACTTTAACAGAGCCTAACCCAGACCGCTCACTGAACACAACTGACCAATGAATGTTTTCGTTTTTACGTATTGATCCTGAGCGTCTCACAGAATTTTTGATCTGTCTTCCTCTGAGCTGGACCAGTTGAAGAAGCTGGAACCAGCTCTGCACCCTCCTCCGCCTCTCACCTGTTTCTTTTCTTCACTCTGCAGCCTGCGACAGTATCTTTGCTGTTGTCTCTTTGCCTCACGGCCCACGTTAGTATGACCCTTCTGACTCTCCGTACATCACCATGTCACAGGTCAGAACTGACCTGGGATCAGTGCTGGGTGGTAAAGGCTTTCAGACTGGATTCTGTTTGGGTTCAGATACGAGCACAAAGTTTCTGTGTGAAGTCTTTTAGGTCAAATCAAGACAGAATGTATACCAGGACCAGGGATAAGGAGAAAGAGGGAATTTTACACAATAAAAATATTCAAGATAAATATTTTATTAAAACCAAAACCTAACTGGTCAAACGATTGACTTTAATAATTTAGATACTAAATTCTTAAAGCTCACCATCTCTTCAGATGATTTAGAAAATCAGAAAACATCTGGACTTTGCCAGCTGGGTTAGGGTTGACTTTAACGGTTAGGTGTAGATTTGGGTTCAGGTTCTGGGTCAGGTAAGTGTTTAAATGTTGCAGAAAGTCAAACTGGTGGACTCACGTTTTCGTTTCCTCCATTCCTCCAAGGAAACTTCTTGATTAATCATGTTGCTTCTTTCATGTCAGCACTGAGGAATGAAAAGAGAAATTGCGCTTGTTTAATTTTTAGTTTAGGATAGTTGTCATTGTATTTTATTGTGGTCCAATTTTTTTTTTAGATTATATACTTATTTATTTAATGAATGTGTTATTGACACTCTGTGGTCCAAATGTATTTAAAATTTGAATAAAAATCAAATTAATCCACTGACAGTGGTCGTACCACCCACCACTGACGTATCTCACCTGTTGTAAGTCCGTCTCCATAGAAACCATCAGCTGACAGCTCACCTTGTGTGATTGTTCTGTGTTAAATAGAAACCCCAGACTTACAAGTTTAATATCTATAATTTCCTTAGAAAACATTTACTGTGTTTTTGTTTTAAAATCGTTCAAAGTGTATCATGTAACTGAAACTTTGAAGGCTGGAAAACATTTAAGGATGCATGATTGTAGACCATCAGCACTGAGTTGCTGGTTCAGTGTAAACTCCAGTGACAGATCTGCAGACTTTCAATATACATATTTACAATCAGCTCGTGAAAGAATAATAAGCAGGTGGAAGAGAGCCTAGAGAGGTGGAGAAAATGTGTAAGAGCCAGGAACGGGATTATGGATAAGGGCCTGAAGAAGTGAGAAGTGGGTGGAAGAGAGTGTAAAGAGGCAGAGAGCAGGTAAAACAGAGTGAAGGGGTGGAAAAAGGTGTGGAAAGATACAAAAAAGAGAAGGAGGTTCTAAAGAGGCAAGTGCAAACCCAAGGAGGTCTATAAAAGCTGGGAGCTGGCTTAAGATGGTCTGGTGAGGTTATAATGAGGCAGAATTAGTTCTGGAGAGGCTTAGACCAAGCAGAAGAGGGTCTGGAGGCTGGGAGCAGGCAGGAGAGACTAGAAAGGTGGAGAGCAAGTGAAAGAGGGTATCAAGAAGTGAAAATGGGCCTGGAGAAGAAGAAGCAGGCAGGTCAGGCTCTAAAGTTGAAAAAAGTGGCGAGTATTGAGCGGAAGAGCGTGAGATGCTTGAACTAGGGATGCACAATTTTTCATTTTTCATTTAGCCTTTATTTATCCAGGTTAGTCTCATTGAGCCACGAGAACTCATTTTCAAGAGTATTATCGGCATGGTATCGGCCGATATTAGCAATAACGTTAAATATAGGACATTCCATCAAAATAACAGATATAAAAGATGCTGTTTGTTTATATATATATATATATATATATATATATATATATATATATATATATACACACATATGTATGTTTTTGTATGACAACCCAGTGACAAGGATGCCTGCAGCACCAGCACAACGTTATGACATCATCACGCGCACTGTTGAGTTTAGATTTGTGAAAATTTACAAATTTCACTGTTCGAGTGTTGTTGTCGTGTTAGAGAGATTAAATGTCATGAATAAATTTGACATTAAACATAATCCAAGTTGAAGTGTTGCATCATTTTCAGCCCCCTTTGTGTCATCTGCATTTGGTAGCAGGCCAAACTGACAAAGACCATGCAGAATAATGTAGTTTTTTTAATTCCACAGCAGGGATAGCGATGTAGTCTCTGTATCGCACATCCCTAGCTTGAACCAGGTGAAATGGGGTCTGGAGAGGTAGAGTGCAGGTGGAAGAGAATCTGGGGAGGTAGCTGCCTGCTCTAGAGAGCTGTGAAATGAAAGACAGACTCCGTATTTATGAATGCAAAGAAAATGGGTAGAAGAGTGAAGCTGGATGAGTTCAAGTATCTGGGGTCAGTCGTCCAAGGAAGTGATTCAGTTTTTATCCAATCTAAACACAAGAGAAGTGAAGAAGAGAGAACCACAACGTGGATAAAAACACGAAGAAGAGCTGGAGGTGGCAGAGATGAAGATGTTCAGATCTTCATTGGTACAAACCAAAATGAACAGAATTAGAAATGAGTCCATCTGAGGTACAGCTCAGGTCTGGAGACAAATCGAGGCTGAGCTGGTTTGACATGTATAGGAGAGGGACAGTTGGGACAGTGGACAATGAATGTCCTTTAGACGCTGCCAGGGAGGAGGAGAAGACGAAGTCCACAGAGACAGTTGATGGATGAAGTGAGGGACAATCTGCAGATAGTTGATGAGATGGAGACATGTGATATTTGGTAAAAAAGTTTTTTTTTTGATTGAAGATTGTGATAAAAACAAATGAGTCTAAAGTTTACTTTTCAAAATTATTGTTTGAACAATATTCAACATGACTAAATCTAAAACGTTGGGTTTCTTTTTGACGTGTTCTGTTATCTGAGGGTCGTTGAGCTGACCATCACCTCACCTGCTCTGTGTTCTGTCATCAAGTTCTACTGTGGTTCTGTGATCCGGCTTGTCTCTGTGCTTTTAACAGTGGTTCTGTGTCCCGGCTTGTCTCAGGGTCGTCTTCTGTCTCCTCCATGATGAGTTTCAGTCGGGGTTCAGAAGATGCTCCTGTTCCTCCTCCCGTTCCTCCTCGCAGACGGCCAGAGTCTGCTCCTTCAGAGTCGTCCCCCTCCATGGTACCATCAGAACCATCACTGGTCTACTGCTGTCACTTCGATCAGTAGAATCCATAGAGTCCCTGTTATCACCACATTCACGTAGTCCACTTTGTGTCCAGAGTTAAGACGGTCCAAAATAATCCGGTTCATTTCCATTGATCACAGCTAACCCTCAGTACATCAACATCACCACTTCATTATCACTGACCTGTGAAGATATTTACATCATCATCATTTTTCCTTTTTTATTGTAAAGTTCTTCAGAACCTTAAACAGATCCACGACTAGTTGGACCAACAGACCTTACTGATTGAACGTTTACTTCAGCTATAAAAATGAGACTAAAAGTACTGTAGGCTGTTTAGTTTTTTATAAATTACAAAAACTGAAGTCCAGCACCCACCATTTTTTAATATTTCGTATACAGTGATTTATGATGAAGGTGAAAAGTAACGCAAACTGGGTTTAAAAATATGTTTTTTGTTCATTTCAAGCTGTTTGAGTCACAGCTTTGGAAACGGCCCTTCACTTCCATACAGGTGCTGGTCATAAAATTAGAATATCTTGAAAAAGTTGATTTATTTCACTAATTACATTCAAAAAGTGAGACGTGTATATTATATTCATTCATTACACACAGACTGATATATTTCAAATGTTTATTTCTTTTAATGTTGATTATTATAATAGACAACTAATGAAAACCCCAAATTACGTATCTCAGAAAATTAGAATATTATTTAAGACCAATAAAAAGGATTTTTAGAAATGTTGGCCAACTGAAAAGTATGAACATGAAAAGTTTGAGCATGTACAGCATCAAGTTAGTTGGGGCTCCTTTTGCCTGGATTACTGCAGCAGTGCGGTGTGGCATGGAGTCGATCAGTCTGTGGCACTGCTCAGGTGTTATGAGAGCCCAGGTTGCTCTGATAGTGGCCTTCAGCTCTTCTGAATTGTTGGGTCTGGTGTATCACATCTTCCTTTTCACAATACCCCATTGATTTTCTATGGGGTTACGGTCATGCAAGTTTGCTGGCCAATTAAGAACAGAGATACCATGGTCCTACTGGTAGCTTTGGTACTGTGTACAGGTGCCAAGCCCTGTTGGAAAATGAAATCTGCATCTTCATAAAGTTGGTCAGCAGCAGGAAGCATGAAGTGCTCTAAAACTTCCTCGTAGACGGCTGCGTTGACCTTGGACTTCAGAAAACACAGTGGACCAACAGTAGTCGATGATATGGCACCCTAAACCATCACTGACTGTGGAAACTTGACACTTGACCTCAAGCAACATGGGTTCTGTGCCTCTCCTCTCTTCCTCCAGACTCTGGGACCTTGATTTCCAAAGGAAATGCAAAATCTACTTTCATCAGAGAACATAACTTTGGACCACTCAGCAGCAGTCCAGTCCTTTTTGTCTTTAGCCCAGGCGAGACGCTTCTGACACTGTCTATTGTCCAGTGGCTTGACACAAGGAATGCAACAGCTGAAACCTATGTCTTGCATACTTCTGTGCATGGTGGTTCTTGAAGCACTGACTCCAGCTGCAGTCCACTCTTCATGAATCTCCCCACATTTTGGAATGGGTTTTGTTTCACCGTCTTCTCCAGGGTGCAGTTATCCCTATTGCTTGTACACTTTTTTTCTACCACATCGTTTCCTTCCCTTCACCTCTCTCTTAATGTGCTTGGACACAGAGCTCTGTGAACAGCCAGCCTCTTTAGCAATGACCTTTTGTGTCTTGACCTCCTTGTGCAAGGTGTCAATGGTCGTCTTTTGGACAACTGTCAAGTCAGCAGTCTTCCCCATGGTTGTGTAGCTACAGAACTAGACTGAGAGACCATTTAAAGGCCTTTGCATGTGTTTTGAGTTAATTATCTGATTAGAGTGTGGCACCAGGTCTCTTCAATATTGAACCTTTTCACAATATTCTAATTTTCTAAGATACTGAATTTGGGGTTTTCATTAGTTGTCAGTTATAATCATCAACATTAAAAGAAATAAATGTTTGAAATATATCAGTCTGTGTGTAATAAATAAATATAATATACAAGTTGCACTTTTTGAATGGAATTACTGAAATAAATAAACTTTTTCAAGATATTCTAATTTTATGACCAGCACCTGTGCACACTCCTGCCTGTGCCCGGTCCCTGGCGTGACTTCATCAGACTTCGACATTCATCAGCCGTATGCTGAGGTGTTTCTGTGACTAGTTTGTTAGATGAGTTGTTTTAAACACCTGACCCTAAAATGAAGTACCATCTAACAATCATATTCTACAGTGAATACCCCTTAAGAGCACGTGGGACTAAAATGGTGGGTGTTGGACTTAATGTCACCATGTTTTTTACGCTGCGATGCATTCTGGGTCAATTATGTAGACGTGTGTCTCCAGTACGAGCTCCATCCAGCTTGAACGTTAATTTTGGACATCTGATGTTCGGCTGTTTAATTTGAACTGGAGTGCGTTGTCGGGGAGGAAAATGTAGAAACCTGATATGAGGATGAAGAGGAGTCGGACGTAGAGCTGCTGTTGATGCTGCTGATACTTCCAAATGTTAACTTGGAAAAAAAGAGCTTCTGCTGCACAGAGCTCTGCTTTATTTCACAGGCTGTTCTCAAAAACACCAGGATCAAACATGTTCTCGTTTATATTAGAACAACGTGTTACACAAATAATGCAAATTTATTTTCCTTATTTGAGTCGTGGGGGTTCTGGAGCTGATGTCAATTGAAACTTCATGTCACCGCACACAGAACAATGCACAACAACAATTGACCAGGAGTGCACGTGTGACAGCAGTGCGTCCAGTCGGGATGAACGCCGCAGCTTTAGCCTTTTCGTTTTCAAGTTAGCTCCAGAGCTAATACTGTAAATTATCAACAGTTGACTGTATTGTTCCATATGTTGTACATTAGGACTGACACAAAATATAATTTCATTGTCACATGACTTTTTAAGCTCAAGGACTCATTCAGTCTTGACTACAGCCCATTTACGTCATCACCCAGAATGCAATGCAGTGGTAAAATAATGGCGATGTCCCTGAGTGTAAATTATAATACACATAATTTTTTCACGTAACAAACAAGAACTTTTAGTAGTATAGATAAATAAAATGTTTTGGCCAACATGTGGAAGTAGTTGTAGAAGCCTTTAAAGTCTTGGATTTGGGCTTACGTTTCCATGATCACAGCGTCATCATCATCACAGCGTCATCATCATCAGTTTTATTGGTTTGATTTGTTTCAGTTACGTCGCGTCAACAGTTTTATCACTTCTACCTTTTCAGTTTTTTTCAGTTTCATCGTCACAGTTTCACTTCAAGCTAACTTCCTGTTTATCTCTTTTCTCCCTCTAATGTCCTCTCCTCTTTACCCCTCCCCCACTCATTTTGTCCCTCCCCTCCAGATGATGTCAAACCTGGACAGTCCCCCCGCTGTGCCTCCTCGCCAGCCTACCTGTAAGCTCCTCCCCCCTCGTTACTCGTCTTCATTGTCCTCGTCGTCCCCACCTGACAGCCCACCCTCACTGCCCCCTCGGGAACCGTTCAGCTCCCCCCTGCATCTCCTCCCGCCTCCTCAAGGGCGCTCCCGCTGCGACCTGTTGTCTCAGGCCTTCTTCCCCCCCACCTCCTCTTCCTCTGTTAGCTCCACCCCCACAGCGTTGTCCTCCTCACCCCCCCTCACCCCTCTCACACCAACCTCTAGGAAGTTACCTCTTCCCTCCCCACCCCTCATCTCACCCATGGACGGACCCCCAGTTCCTCCTCGTCACATCGTCCCAAAACTGCCCCCCAAAACCTATAAGAAGGAATCTTTAGACCACGCCCCTATTGTGGACACGCCCCCCACATTATGACTGAACAGAAGAACCAGGGATAGCTGATTGGACATCTGTTGGAGGAGGTGGAGCTTGAAATGGTAACACTATAGCTGATTGGATCAGAATCGCATGAACAAAGGACTCTGACCATTCAGAAGGTTCTGATCCGGTTCGAACTGAGCTATAAGAAAAATCATGTACTTTTATTCTGAAAATCTGGTTCAGTAGAACCTTTTATGTGTGTTTAGTTCGTTTGTGTCCTGACCCAGTGGGACCTAAAGGGACCTGATCCGACTGAACTGGTTGTTAAGCGGGGACTTGTACAGGAAGTTGTGAAGAGCTCATGAAGCAGAACCTTAGAGGTACTGTTTTTGGTTTTGATGGACTTGATGATGTTTGTTTGTCTCTTGTTGTTGATGTAAACAAAAGTGATGATCTCCATCAAAACAAGGGAATAAACGCGTTTCCACTGAGCTGGTGGACAACAGAAATACGTCCATGTCTTCGTTTGTCTGCAGAGCGACACTGAGCATGCTCAGTGGAGCAGTGGGAACTAATCTGAGTTGGTAAGTCTTAACCTGTTTCCATGGAAACTTGTTTTTTGTTAGCTCAGAAGGTAGCAGCTTTTATTTTCTTCTGGGCGCACCTTTCCAACTACGGGTTTACTTTGGATGTTGTCAAGTTCTGCTGATAAGTATGATCCCACCAACAGGAAGCGTGTGAGCCATTTCAGAAAGGTCCCGTAGTGTGACTGAGTTTTTCTGCAGTCCCTTCTGTGGATTCTGTAGTTGAGAAGAAAGTAAGTAGACCAGACTGGACTGCAGGATGGGTTCTGTTGATTTAGGCGCTCACACCCAAGACAAACACAAACACCAAACAGCCTGTAGATGGCGCTATAACCATGATGAATTCCAAACCCATCCATCCTCTTGTTCTTGAGTCAGATCTAGGAGGCAGCAGCTTAAGCTATGAGGTCCAGCCACTTCTTCCTGCTCTTTTGGGAGGACTCCCAGGGTGTTCTCTCAAGCGTGTCCTGGGTTGTCCCATGGTCCTCCCCTAAGTTGGACATGCCAGGAACACCTTTCTAGGGAATGAGTCCAGATGCTCAAACTCCATTGCCTATCCCCACACACAAGCGTGCATGTGCATTACACACACACACACACACCAAGACTCAAAAGCTCCTCACAATGCATGGAAGGTTTCTCCTCAAGTCCAACAGGAGACTATAAGAGAAAGAAGAAAGGCAGAGGGCAAGTGAGTGTCAAAACCACTTTACAAGATGAAACAACAAAGATTCTGGAGAACATCAGCAGAAACCCGATGTGGAAAAGGAGGAACAAAAGGAGTCATCATGAAAAGATAAGCCGCGTCGCTCACGTCATATACCACCAGCAGATGGAGGAAGAGACTGATATCAATAAATCCAACCAGGGGCTAGAGAGGGCTGGACTGAAGGACAACACAGAGACACTAATCATGGCAGAAGAACAAAAGAGCCCGGGAGCTACCATACCAGACGAGAGCCAAGATGCAGGCTGTGCAAAGATGCCCTGAGACAGTCCAACACATAATATCAGGCTGTAAGATCCAGGCAGGCAAAGCATACATGGAACAATGTAACCAAGTGGATGGAAAAATATACAGGAACATCTGGAATAATGCACAGGAACACCTGGAATAATAAACAGGGACCTGTGCAATAGTATACACGAACATCTGAAATAATACTTAGCAACATGTGGAGTAATACACAGGAGCATCTGGAATAATATACAGGAACATCTGGAATAGTATACAGGAGCATCTGGAATATTATACAGGAACATCTGCAGTAATACGCAAGAATGTGGCATAATGTACAGGAACATCTGGAATAGTACACAATGACCTCGAATAATATACAG